TCGTGCACATGAGCCGCACGTACCGCGGCCCCCGCGCGCGCGCCGCGGCGCCGCCGCCGCCCAGCGCGCCGCCGCTCAGCCCGCCGCCCCCCAGCGGGCCCGCGAGCTCGTCCCCGTCGTCCCCGCCGGCGGCGGCGCCGCCCTTGGCGCCCCGCAGCCCGCCGCCCTTCTCCTGCTCATCCTGCTCCATCAGGCTGTCCACGTCAGACAGCATCTCAAAGTGGCACCGCGGCAGCGCGCGCGACACGCACGCGTGCAGCCGCCGGAGCGCGTCCATCGCGCCAAAGCCGAGGCCGACGCGGAGAACCGCGAGCTCTTGCAGGCGGGTGAGGACGAGCAGGCCGGTCGCGAAGGCGGAGGGGAAGTCGGGGCTGGTGACGAGGGTGAGGCGGCGGAGGGAGCGCATCGAGGCGATGGCGGCGCGGACGCGGCCGTTGAGCGCGCGCTCGTGCGCGTGGATCTGCGGGGCGGGGGCGTAGTTTTGGAAGTGGGGTGGAGGTTGATGCGGGAGTGTTGAGGATGAAAGGAGGTATGGGGACGAGGGTCGGGGTTGTTTGTGAGGGGGGGTGGTGAAGGTGCAGGGGGCGCGGCGCGGGGGTATGCCAGGGTATCAGCTTTGCTTTAAAGGGCGGCTTGCGCGCGGCCACGGCCCGCCCGCACGACCGCGCCGTCAACGCCCGAGGCGGAGCGCGGCCAGGTGCGCTGCGAGGTGCGAGCAAACAACGCCCACCTGCAGGGACTCCAGCGCCGTCAGCCGCGTCAGCTTCGCGAGCGCGCCGCCCCACGACCGCGCGCCGTCGTCCGCAATCACGAGCCGCAGCGCGCGCAGCGTGCGCGCCGCGGGGCCCGTGGTCATCGCCTCCAGATCGCGGCTTGTGATCTGGGAGTGGTGCAGATCCAGCTCCTCCAGGGCCCCAAGGCGCGACAGGTTTGGCAGCGGCAGCGTCTCCTCGCCGTGCATCGGCCCGACGCACCGCAGCACGAGCCGCCGCAGCCGCGGCGCCGCGAGCGTGAGCGCCGCGGCGCGCGCGGCCGCCGCGGCGGCGGGGTTGAGGCCGCCCGACGACTGCGTCCGCGAGAGGCCCGGCGCGCCCGGCCACGCGCAGCCGCCGAGCCCGAGCCCCCAACCCGCCGGCCGCTCCGGCCACCCGCAGACGCCCGTCCCCGCGACCGCCGCGCCGCAGCCCGCGTAGCCGCCGCCGCCACCGCCGCCTTCGCCGTCTCGGCCGCCCCCTGGCCCCGCGCCCGGCCAGCTGAAGTCGGAGGTGCGCGCCGACGCGCCCATCCGCGCGGCATCGGGCCCCGGCGCCGCCACCCACACGTCCCGCGCCTCCAAACACGTCAGACCATCTGGCAGCTCCGCCGGGTGCAGCAGCAGCGGCGCCTCGGCGCTCCAGACATCCCAATGGTATGGGCTCAGCCGCAGCCGCCGCAGCGCGCCCAGAGCGCGGAACCCGCACGTGCCATGCGCGAGGCCGCAGCACAGGTCGAGCGCGCGCAGGCAGGGCCACACCGACGCGAGGGCCAGCACGTGCCGCTCCTCGAGCTCTATCTGGCCGGCCAGGCCGAACGACTGCAGGCCGGACAGCGGCTCGAGCGCGAGCATCGCGTCGGCCGCGTGCCGCGGCAGCCGGCCGCGGTGGCGCTGGTGCAGGTGCACCGACAGCGACCGCAGGCCGGCCAGCGGCGCAAGCGCCGGCAGCAGCTCCCAGGGCAGCGGCTCGACCTCCAGGCGCGCCAGCCCCGTGCAGCGCGACAGCGCGGCCGCCTGGCGGGAGCTGACGGGCGCCATCTGCAGCAGCTGCAGCGCGCGCAGCGACGGCAGCGCGCCGAGGCCGTCGAGGGAGGGCAGCGGGACGAGTCTGACGCCGAGTGACGTCAGCGCGGTGAGGCGGGACAGGTCCTCGGGGCGGCGGAAGCCGACGCCGTTGGACAGCTCGAGCAGGCCTGCGGTTGGTGTGTATGTATGTGTGTGTGTGTGTGTGTGTGTGTGTGCGCGCGCGCGCGTGCGCGTGCGCGCCAGGGGTGTGTGCACTGCTTTACACCTCCCCATGCTCCTGCATCTGTGCCATGGTGCTGGCCCTGCTTTGCCCCCAGACCTGCTTCGACCTGCTGTCAAGATACGCAATGCACACGTAGCAACCTCAGCACCGCAGACCAGCCGTCACCATTGCAGGAAAATGCCAAGCAGCCACCACCTAGTTTGAATCCCGTCCCTGCCTACAAAAGGCCCCCCATGGGCGCAGCCTAATCCCCAATTTGACACCCTTTCCCTGCCTTCGAGTCTGACGGCTTCCCAACACACCACAGCCTCAAACCCCTCACCAGTGTACTCCAGGTCTAGGGCCACCAGGCGGCTGAGGCGCGTGAGGGGGTCCAGCGGCATTGGGGCCGACCCGGTGCCGTCCACGGTGCGGAAGCCCTGCGGGCACGCGAGTGCGGTTGCAGTAATGACTGGGCCAGGAGGAGCAAGGTGGTTGCGCGCGCAGGCGACATGCGAATGGGGTGGCCAAAGACACGCGTGTGGGCTTTCACGTGAGAGGCGTAGACAACTGTGCAAAGGCGTGCAGCCGGGGCGCAGGGGGCCAGCACAGCATAGAGACATCAGCCATGCCTCAGCATGGGAGACCAAACCGCACCCAAGCCCCATCGCTCAGCCCTGGACGCCTTCGGCCCCAGTCCCACTGCCAACCCAGGTGCTGCGCAAGCTCACCCGAGCAACGGACCACCGGAAGCCCGGCCCCTGCACGCGCTGACAGCCTACGCTGTCCGACAACACACACTTGCAACACACCCAAGCCGCTGAATCCCCGGAAAACAAGTCACACTAGCACCCCCAAGCGGTGCAGAGGGGCGCGGGCGCGCGACCCACCAACGACAGCTCCCTCAGCCGCTGCATCCCCGCGATGACGTCCACGTGCCGCGCCGTCAGCCGCGAAAACACCGAGCTGTGCAGCCGCAGCCGCTGCAGGCCCGAGAGCATGGCGCCCAGGGACTCCATGCTGACTGGATCGGGCCAGCAGACGTCACCCAGGTCGAGAGACACCAGCTGCGGCGCGAGCGGCGTGAGCCCCTCCGCGAGCGCCGGCCAGTTCGCCGCGTCCACCATCCCCCGCAGCCGCACGCCGCCGAGCGTCGGCGTCGTGCACGCCAGCAGGCCGGCGGTGCGGCGCATGCTGCGCGCGTCGATCGCGGCGCCGCGCTCGTAGGTGCACTGCACCGTGCGCAGCAGCGGGAACGCGGCCGTGAGGCGCCGCAGCTGCCCGAGCTGCCCGCGCACGGGGCGCTGCCACAGCGCCGGCGGCAGCGCCGCCACCGCGACCTGTGCGCCCAAGCAGTCGCGCCAGGTGCGACAGACCAGCCGCGCGGACGCCGTGTCCGCCGCTGAGATGAACGCGCCCAGCCGCTGCGGGCGGGTTGCGGCGGGGCAGTGTTGCATGGGTCACGGCGAGGGCGAGGTCGAGCGCCCGCAGCGCAAAGCAGCGGCAAACAGCTGAGCGGCCAAGAGTCAGCTCCACTAGGGATCGGCCAAGCACCTGCGTGCCCCGACACGCCGATGGGCGCGGCCAGGTGCCTCCGGCGCGCTCTGACAGGCAGCGCGCCGAATTGGCCGGGGAATTGGCCCACGCCAGGCGGGGCAAAATCCAGAGCCAATGGGGCGTCCGGCGCGCCGGCAGCAGTGCCGCGCGCTCCGCCCCACATATCCCCCAGCGGCTCACCTGCAGCACCTCGGTCGGCAGCCCCTGCGTCTCAACGGGCGGCCGCCGCTTCTTGGGCGGCGCCCCCTCCGACTCGTCATCCCCGTCGGCCCCGCTGTCCGCGCCCTCGCCCCGGCCGCCGCCGCCGCCGCCGCGGCCTTTGAGGCGCCGCCGCCGCAGCCGGCCAGCGGCGGAGAGCTGGCGGATGCCTTGCACCAGCGAGTCGGCGGCCATGCGGGGCAGCTTGGTGCGCACGACGTAGCCCCAGTGCAGGACGCTCCGCACCAGCAGCTGCGCCGCCAGAACGACGCAGGGGTGGCGCCAGACGCACGTGGACGGCGTCGACGCGACCCAGCAGACCACCGAATGGTCCTGCATTGCGGCGTGGTGGGAGCTCGCGCGGCCGCGTCCGAGGGGGGCCTGCGAGAGGGCACGCGCGCAGGGGCATGAGACGGCTTCCCGGCAGGCGCGCTGCGCGGCGTGTGCACGCACGGGTCCGCTGCGGAGGGCGGGGGCGCGAGAGCCCGCCAGCGCACGGGTCAATGAGCCCTCGGCAACTCCTGGGCCAGGATTGGGAGAAAGGCGTCGCGCATCTGCAGGGACGGCCCATCGCATTCGCCGGGGCCTGCCTCCTGGCACAAGCGCCGCCACCGTCCGGCGCCACTAGCGCGCTGCGCGGCCTGCAGAGCCTCCTGCCCGTCCATGCCAGCGCCAAACATAGCCCTGCTATGCTGACCTGGTTGCACGCCTGTCCCTCCGTGCGCTTGAGTGGATGGCTCAACACTCTCGAGTCCCGGTGAGACGACGCCTCGGCCGCGACAGCGTCACTGCAGCCCCCCGGATCTATGATGGAAGCTCTCAACGAGGCCGCCGAGCGCGTGGCCACTGGGAGGAGGCCATGAACGCCGAAGACCTCATCGCACCACTGCGTTGCTAACAGTGCAGTTAAACCGGGTATGCGAGATGACTGCCGATAGCGATGATGTGTTTGCGACCGTCTTTGAGGCGCAGGACACCCCCGACCTTCAAGGCGGGCGAATGGACCGGCGCGAGTGACACGGCCTCAGCGGTCTTTTAAGTGACGAAAAACATGCATTAAATATGCCGCCAGGATTCCATGACAGCTCAGATCACCGTGTACATACCTGTTGCCCATCGCTGTGACTCAGCCCACCACCTTCGTCGCCTCGTTTGCTTCAAGCTGCTCTCATAAGACTATCGACGGCCACTCTCGTCCCTAGAGCAAGCCATGCCGCGCACCTCGCGGCGTCCGACGCATGCAGGGAGCTGGTATGAGTTGGAACGTGAGTGCCTAGGTCGCTGGCACCCCCTTTCTTGGTCGCTGCCTCTGCTGCTCCAGCAGCCCGCGCCAGTGGAGCCTTCACCAATCAAATGCACGCGTTTTGATGATGCCACAGGAGCCAAGCTGGACCGTCAGATAGCCGACTGGCTCGCCGCGGCCCCGCCGCGCGGGCCGGGTGCGCCAGCGCCACGCGCCATCATCGGGCCGCACGCAGGCCACCGCTACTGCGGGCACGTCATGGCCCACGCCTACGCCCCCATCGACCCGTTTTCAGTGTGCGTCCGACAAGCCTGGCGTGCCGACGGGCGCCAATGCATATGCAATGGACACGCCTGCAGGCCCTGCCGTGCACACAACCTGCATCGACCCGGCAACAGCCAATGTACACACGCGGGGGTTGCACTGGCGGTAGCGCGCACGTGTGGAGGTGATCCCTTACAGGTTTGCTCGCAGCTGCGCCCCTCGGGGAGCGCCTCCCTGGTGCCCGGGCTGCTCCCCTTCTTTCACCTTGTACCCTGCCCCCCTGTGTGCCACCAACTGCATCACTCCTCGGCCCCTGCAGCAAGCGCGTGTTCCTGCTGGGGCCATCGCACCACGTGTACGGCCGGCGCTGCTGGCTGTCGCCCACACTCGAGTACCAGACCCCCCTGGGTGGGCGGCGCTGCTGAGCTGGCAGCAGGGCGGTTGGTCAACAGCCACAGCAGGACCAAAAGCATATGCAGGGCAGAAACCAGCAGCAGGGCATGACTTGGCGGCAGGGGGAACGGCTTCAGGCCGATGCAGAGGGGCTGAATGCAATGAGCCACTCATTAGCCCGAGCCGCCGCTGCTGCCTGCCACTTCCTGCCGCCGTGGCCAGGCGCCGCCGCCCGCGCCAGCCCGGGCGACTTCGTTTGCTTCTTTTCTTGAAAGGCGGCCTTGACTTTCCCCATGCTGCATTTGCCGCCCCTGTGTGAACGGCACCGTCGCTCTAGCTGCGTGGCACGCCGGCTCTGCCCGCGCCAGCCACAAGAACCCCTGGTCAACACAGCCACAATCGCCGCGTCCCCCGCGCTCGCCACCCGCTCATGCCCAAAAGGCCCCCTCCCGGTGGACGCCGCGATCTACGAGGAGCTGCAGGCAACAGGGGCCTTTGACACGATGAGCCTCTCGGAGGACGAGGTGCGCCGCGCAGCCCGTGCATGCAGCGCTCCATGGGCGGACCTCGTGACCTCCGCACCTCGCCCTCCCTTTTGCGCCCGCTGGGTGGCGCCCCGGTGGGATGGTTCCCTTGATGAGGGCCGGCGGCCGCACGCGCCCTTTGCGCGACGCTATTTGCTCGGCTCGCCATCAGAGGGCCCCTGCCGAGGTGGTGCTGGCAGGCCTGGGCAGCTTCAAGGTCATACCTGCAATTGGCATCACTTTTCGCTGCTTTGTTGATAGTGCCGTGCGGCCCCCGAATTCATCGGCCGTGCATTTCCTTCACCCAAACCCCCAAACACCTGTAAACCAACGCGCCGCCAGGCGGAGCACAGCCTGGAGCTCCACACCCCCTTCATTGCGCGCATCATGGGGTGAGCGCCCCCAGACTGCAGCGCCCCTCTTGCCTGCAGTCGGCCCCTCTTGAGGATGTGCCTTCGCCGTGCTGCGGGGCCTCGATAATGGAGGCGGCACGGCTGCTGCCAGCACACGCTTGAGCGGCATTGGGAAGCATCTGGCCTGGCGCCTGACCCTGCCACCTGGAGCTGCCTCTACGCGCGCGCGTACACACACACACACACACACACACACACACACACACACTCACGCACATGCGCACACACACCTGCACACACACACACACATACACACACACACACACACACAAATACCCACATGCACACCTACGCCCACAAGCACGTGCCCCCTCACAATCCCCGCTCTGCGCAGGTCCCAGCCCTTCAAGCTGGTGCCCATCATGGTCGGCGCCCTCAGCACAGAGGCGTGAGCATCCACCTCCGCAATGCGCCGCCCTGGCAAAGGCCAGCCCTGCTTTGAACGTCCGCCCCAGCCGCACTGCTCGCCCAGGCTGCTGCACCACATAGCTTGCAACGCCCGCTGCAGCAATCCAGTGTGCCTCAGCCTGCCGTTGAGTGTCTATGCCCGCATCTCTCCTCCCCCATCAATGTGTTGTCGTGCTGCAGGGAGGCGCGGTATGGCGCCCTGCTGGGCCACTACCTCGATGACCCCTCCAACCTCTTCATCATCTCATCCGACTTTTGCCACTGGGGGCGGCGCTTCAGCTACACATTCTATGACAAGACCAAGGTGTGTGTGTGTGTGTGTGTGTGTGTGTGTGTGTGAGAGAGAGAGAGAGAGAGTGTG